AGGGGAGAGCTGGTTAGGTTAAAAAAAAACAACCCAAAAAAGCCACTTTCTTGCCACCTTACTTTCGCTTCCTTCAGCATTTTATTTATACCCACGATGTTGTTCTTGAAAAACAGAGAACCCACAAGCAAAAATATGACACACTGCGGGCAGGCCAGGCCCAACTGAGCACAGGGCTGCCGTGAGCTCAGGGCCAACAGAACCGAAGACCTTTTAAGAAACCAAATCACACCTGAGGCCCTGGAGGTGATCCTGACTCAGGGAACCCATCGATACAGGGTCTCCGAGTCTGTGAACCGTATGGGACCAGACAGCCTCATCTTTCTCCCACAAAGCAGCTGTGGGTTTGATCTGCTGACCTTGCAGATAACGAGCACAGCCTGTCCTGAGGTGGGGGCCAAAGCGACCATGGACACAGCTATACAATGCAGGAGGCACACAAGTCCTGGTGGCTGGGGCAAGCAGCGGGCTGGAGGGGCAGCGAGAGAGGAGGGAAGTGGACTTCAGGTTGGGGTGGCCAGGACCCTCCTGCAAGGACAAGGCTCTGCGGCCATGGGCAGCAGCAGCTGGGTCTGCAAGAGTGTCTGGTAAGCACCTTTGCTGGATTCCAGGGAAAGACCCCCCACCCCGAAATACTCCACTCTGTACAAACCCTTCTAGAAACAGGGCTCCTTGCTGGCCTCTCCCCCTTGACTGGCTCTGGCCATGAGAGCGCCTGCTCCCATGTAAGTGGGCAGTGGGAGCAGAAGCCTGACAGCACTGGACACCAGAGCCCCTTCCTGAGAGACTGCTGCCACCTGGTGGTGCGGCCCCAGGCGCGCAGCAGCTCAAACTAGGTGACTGATTTCAGCCATAGCTTCCACCCACTCAGCCTGGGAGCGTCCACACTCTGCCACTAAGGGAGGTGCAAGGCACGACAGGGTTGGGGGAGCTCTCCCCCTAGTCGAGTGACCACAGAGGGAGGTCCTCCATCCGTGCCTGGACACCCCCACCTGGCCAGAGGCTGTGCAAGAAAGGGTGAGGCAAGCAGAGGGGTGAGGACAGAGCCAGAGGACACACCTTCATTCTCAGCACGGAGCACACAGCCATCACTAAGAGCAGTCATACGCAAGGGCCCATTTCCAACTTCCTAACAGTTCCTTCTGGAATTTGCTTCACTGACCGTGGGCTCCTGCTATGGGAATCACATGCAGCCCCACCCCCAAGTAAGGCAAGCACATACGGGACCCTCAGGCAGTGTCCCATGGATTATGGCCATGCAGACAGGGCCGTCCAATCACACCCGGTCCTGCGGTCGGTCTCCTTCTAAACAGCGCACTCCACACTCTCCCACCCCTCTCAGCCACCTCCCACGTGGCCCCGGATGCCCTCCCTGGTATCACTACCTAGACCTTTCAGGTGGGTGTACGTGCCCCACCCCTCGAGCCTGCGTCACTCAGTCACACCCCACAGGGCAAAATCCCGATCTGGCCCCTTCCCTTGGAGGTCGGGGACAGGTTCCTCTATATCAGTCACAGTAGGTGCCAGGGTGCACCAGTGGCTTAGGGACATACCGAGCCGTGACGAGGAGCAGGAGGACAGTGGCAGGCGCGGGGCACACGGGGCTTTACCTTGGACATCTGGCTGAAGTCGGCAAAGCCCTCAGCACTAGTGAAGGAGCCACTTCCGAAGGGGTCTAGGGTTCCAAAGGGATCTGAAAGCGGCACCAACAGAGTCATGTTACAGGTCTCCTCGGGACACGCCTTGGGGGGAGGGGGCACCTCCTAGCACCAGCCAGCCAGCGCGGGCAGCTCAGAACCAACAGCCACACTGCTGTGCTAGAGGCGTCCGACCCTCGACCAGGACCCTGTCAACACAGCCCCTGCTCCGTCCCGCCGTGGTCCACCGACTGCATGGCGGCCAGCTCTATGGGAAGCAGAAGGGCAGGGACCCAGGGCACAAAGTGCCACCGGGCCAGGCAGCTTCCAAAAGGCAGGGGTGAACCCACGTGAGATGAGGACCCACCACACAAACCAGCATCCTCAACAGGGCTTGGGATTCTTTCCAGAAAAGTACGCCAAAGACACAAAACAGCGACTTGGAGACAGGAGGAAGGATACAGTAATGACACCAGCGGGACTATTACTGAATTCCTGGTAGAAAGGTGCTGGCTGGCTCTGGCTCTCGGGAGGGAGGGAGGGAGGGAGGGAGGGGTGCGGGCGAGCAGCAGCTGGGATGCCTGCTTCGGGTGAGGGCCTGGGAGAGGACAGTGCTCACGGGGCGGGCTCCTCGACCACCCAGAGGAGAGTCAGGGAGGAAAACAAACACCCATCTCACCTGTTCCTTTTGAGGAGACACTGGAGGAAGAGAAAGGATCACTGGACTCAAAGGGGTCGAGCTGAGTGAGAGGAGAGAGCAGAGAATGAAAAGCGGCTTGTTGGCTCTACCACGCATTCAACCGCGCACGCGCGCGCACGCACCCATGCACGCACGCACACCTGGGTCCGGGTGAGGAGGGGAGAGCCTGTCTCTCATGAGGCTGGGAGTTCTGCTCTCAGGGCGGCACGGGAGCTCCTCCCAGGCCGACTCTCTGGCACCCGAGGCCAGACCGCATACTCTGCACCAAGCACCAGAGCTCGGAGGCAGGGAAGTGAACCAGAGCAGCGAACCACTATAGGATCGGGACTGGGCAGAAGGGAGCAGCCCAAGGAGGGCTTCCTGCCCAGGCCGGCTCCCATCTGGGGACAGACAGCAGCTGCAGCAACACCACTGGCCCCCAACTAAAGCTCCAGCCCCAGTAGGACCCCCCCTCCCCCTCCCCCCATCTTCCTGGCCTGAGACCAGAGGGGGAGATGAGAACCCTACACTCCACTCCAGCCCAAACCTCTGACAGACGCCCGAGCCACACCTGCACAGGAACCCAGGCAGCGGCCTGCAGCTGCCTGCCAAGCTGCAAGAACCACGCTGAGATCTAAGCGTGTGCCCCTGCACGGGCCAGGGGGTTGCGGGGTGAGCCTAACTAAGGCAATGGCCAGAGTGGCACGTCATTCTGAATGCACAGCTGTTTCTACACGATACAGCAGAAAATGAACCAGAAAAGCGTGGCCCCTCGTGCAGGAGCAGAGCCACTCTGGTGGCACCGTGAGAGCTTGACTGGTAAGCAAAGACTGGCAGCTCACTCTTCCAGCTGCTCCCAAGGAAGAAAATGTGTGGTCCGAGTCTGCGGCAGATTGACAGCCTCGGAAACCTATGGGGCAGCTGACTGTCCGACAGGGTCACTAGGAGTTGAAACTGACTAGGTGACCGTGGGTTTGGTTTGATTATCAAGGGAAAATGGAGCCCTAGTTAAAAAGGGTCAACTGCTTGGTTGTTAACCTACGGGTTAGTGGTTCACACCCACTGGTGGTTTTCACGGGAGAAAAGGCCTAGTGAGCTGCTCTCATACAGCTACAGCCCAGCAAAGCCCAGGGGGCAGCCCTCCTCTGTGGTATAGGGGCGCTGTGAGTGAGAATCAACTGACAGCACACACCATCATCAAGGGAAGATCATCTGTACAGCCAATCTCAAAACGACCCCGATACTGAAATAAAGGAAATTACAATCACAGTGAAAGAAAAGATAGGCGGTACACACAGTGGAGGAACTGAAACATATGAAGTAAGCACATGGAAATTTGAGAATTGAAAAGTGCAGCATTTAGAGCAAAAACTTGACTGGGCAGAACGGAGACAAGAGGAGGAGAGAGTAAGTGAATCTGAAGTGTGCCCAGCAGAAGCTGACAGTTTGGAGAAAGAGGCGAGAAGAAAGCAAATAGGTGTGCTAGTCTGGGTTGACTAGAGAAATAAATTCACAGACGCCCTCATATGTGTATAAGAGCTTTCTAGAAAGAGTAACTTTACATTAAGAAAACATCCCAGACCAGTCCAGATCAAGTCCATAAGTCCAATATTAGTCCATATGTCTGAATTCCTCTTCAGACTCACACAACACATGCAATGACGCTGAGTGCAGGGCGATCACAGGCCATTGGGTGGAAAGTCTTGTGGATCCATTGGCAGTGGAAGCATCTCAGTGCAGGCAGCAGTCTCTACGTGGCTCCTTTAGCTCCAGGGCTCTGGCTCCATTACGTAGCTCCCTGTGTCTGCTCAACAGGAATGTCTTGCAAGGAGTGAGCATGTGTCCGCCTCTAGCAAGCTATTTATCTCCTTAGTGCCTCCAAATGATTGACAGGCTAAACTCCACCCCTTCACTCTTAACTCTCAAACTGACCACAGATGACGTAACCACCACATGAGGAAAAGGAAAGAGACAGAGCTGCGGGCCTGTGGGGCAGTATCAACAGGACCAACACGTGCATGGTCGCAATCCCAGAGAAAGGGGGTGGAGAGAGAAGTGCAGGAAAAAAGATTTGCAGAGAGAATGGCTGAAAACGTATCGAATTTGGTGGAAAGACATCAGTGTATACGTGCAAGGAGCTCAGCATGTGCCAAGCAGCACAATTTGGGTGAAATCCACCCCCACACTTGACAAACTGCTGAGAGCAGCTACATGGAGACTCATGGGCGACTAGCGACAGGAGACCGGGGATGTAGGCAGACAAGCCCCAGAAAGACCCATGGCTTCTCCGCCTACGCAGCGGGACACAAGCGAGTGGGCCGGGCAATAGCCTCTACAAGTGCTGGGAAGAGAAAGAAAAGCCCAGCACAAACATCCCACTGGAACGGAGATATGCACTCTGTCTCCACACCCCCGCTGGAAGACGATGATGACGAGGGGAAGCGCATCTTCAGTTAGGAGGGAAGCGCCTTGAGAGGACAATGATCTGGGTGAAAACAGACTGTCTCACCATGTGCAGAGAGGTAACAGCTGTGATGCTGGAACACAGGACGGGGTGATACACGTGGCTGCATGGCGTCTGCAGTTCACATGCAGGGACACAACAGGAACGCTAAGAAAAGGTAAGCGTAGAGATGGTACTGCCTGGAGCATCCTCTCGAGTCCTGAGTGGGGTAAACTGTCAGCGTAATGGCTTAGCTGCTCATTGAAGAGTCAACAGGTATGACTCCATGAAGAGACAACAGCCATGGGAGATTTCACAGTGAGGCTCTACTTTGAAACACATGGGGCTTGCCATGAGTCATGGGTCAATTCAGTGACAGATGCTTAGGACATTCTCTAAAAACCAAGATACAATAAACTGTAGTTCTGTAAAATGCTACAATAATCCAAAAGAAGGCAATAATAGGGAATGGAGGATGAAATAAAAGAATACCCCAAAAAGGTGGCGGTGGAGATAAAATTGACTTAAAGTCAATATATCAGAAATTACATTAAACGTTAATGGACTAAACATCATTTAAATGGCTAAGATTTCTAGACTCGATAAAAAAGCAATCCCCTACTATACATAGGCTATCTACAAAAGATGTACTTCAAACACAAATACCAAAGTAGATTAAAAGTCAACAGTTGAGCGAAGATACATGATGCAAATAACTGTAAGTCACACGTCAGCTGTCACACGATGGTGCTTTGTAGGTAGCTGTGTGCTGGGCGCAGTGCCAGCGGTGTTTCCAATGGCGTCAGGTCATCCATAGTAGACGACTGTCAGAAGACTGTCCACACGAAGACGAGGGAAAACAAGCACCCGTGACAGACATGACAAATACTGAAGTCTTCAAGGGTTTCACTTTATTGGATCCACAGAAGCAACAGTCAGGAAACTAAATAAGTAACAACACTACTAAGAATTGTCACCAAGCCCCCAGGACAATAATCCTGCTCAGAGCAGCCAATGCACAGAGGAGGACCACAGGGCCGGCCCCACCACAGACAAGACGTCCCTCACTGACCCATATCACTATGGGGGACAACACTGGAGGCCCAGTGCAGGAACTGTGCCCAATCTGACCCCACACACTGGGGAGAAACACAAAGGGTGTGCAACAGAGCAGCAAGGGGAGCAAAGCAACAAACTCCCCGGGAAGCAACCAAAAAATGAGACTTTGGGGCCAGGGCATGACCCCCCATCAGACTCGACCAGAAAACACTCCTAAAGACCAACAAACAGACCTGGGGCTATTTACAGGCTTTTCTCTTTTTTTGTCCTTGGTTTGTTGCTGTTCTTGTTGTTTGTTTGGTTTTCTTTTGTTGTCTTGTTCTGCTCTGTGAGGAAGGGGGAAAATGAGGATCTGATACCAAAGGCTCAAGCAGAAGGCAAATGTTGTGACAATGATGATGGCAACAAATGTACAAATGTGCTTGACATAATGGATGCATGTATGGATTGTGATAAGAGCTGTATGAGCCCCCAATAAAATGATTATAAATGAATGGATGGATGGATGGATGGATGGATAGATAGATAGATAGATAGATAGATAGATAGATAGATAGATCAGGTCATTAAAAACAACTCAACAAGAGTCCAGGACCATCCATAGATAGAGATAGATAGATAGATAGATAGATAGATAGATAGATAGATAGATAGATCAGGTCATTAAAAACAACTCAACAAGAGTCCAGGACCATCCAATTTCCTGGGTGAATTCTAACAAACATACAGTGTAGAGCTGACACCAAACTATCCCAGAGTAGAGAAAAGGAGGGCATGCTCTCAAATGCATTCTATGAAGTGAGCATAATCCCGATACCAAAGCCTGGCAAGAATATTACTGAAAAAGAAAATTAAAGAGCAATCGCCCTATGAACATAGATGAGAAGATTATCAACAAAATCCTACCCAATAGAATCCAGCAACATTAAAAAAAATTAAATTATGATTCACAAGAATAGTTCAAACATGAGAAAAACAATCAGCCTCATCCATCACATAAAAGAATCACAGGATCATATCCACAGAAGCAGAAAAGGCATTTGACCAAATCCAAAGCTCATTCTTGACAGAGTCCGCACTAGAGGGGAACTCCTCAGCATCATGACGGGCATGGACACGAAACCAAAGGTGCCAGGGTGGCATAATGGGCTGTGATCCACAAGGCCAGCCGTTCAAACCCATCATCTGCCTCTGGAAAAGATGGGGCCTCCCACTCCTGTTAACACGTAGAGTCTTGGACACTCACAGGGCAGTTACCCTCCTAAAGTGTTGCCATGAGCGGACATCAACTCAGCAGCAGTGAGTTTGTTTGTGCAGATAAGATGATCTTATACACACAAAACCGCAAAGGCCCAACAAGAAAACTACTGGCACTACTTGAAAGATTCAGCAAACTAGCAAGTTACAAAATCAATATAAAAGAATAAGATTTCAAAAAAAAAAAAAAAAAAGAAGAATAAGATTTCTTTACACTCATAAAAAAAACAAAACACGAAAAACTCAATGCCATCAAGTCAACTCTGACGCCTGTGAGTTTCTGACTGTAACTTTTTTTTTAA